TCTCTCTCTCTCTCTCTCTCTCTCTCTCTCTCTCTCTCTCTCTCTCTTTCTCTCTCTCCCCTGTGTGAGGGGGGAGTGTCTTTTAAGGGACCAACAGTCATGAGTATTGGACAATGGGAGGGCAGAGCTTGAAGGACACCAAGTTCCAAGAGTCCATGTTTAAAGACGAAGTTAGCACCATCAGAGAAAACCATCCACATATATAAGCACCAAAGGTCTGTGCCGTCAAACATCAGAAGGCAGGAAAGAGAATTGCAAAGCCTTCAGTCGGTTGCCATCTGAGTTGGAAGGTTTCCATCTGAACTCACATGGGGTTTTGTCCTGTTTTTCAGGGAAGGATGTGAAGGTCAGTGAGGTCAGCCACCCAGAGAAAGGCAGAATTAAGCCTTGGGCTCTGATCGTCAGAGGCTAGACTCAAAGCCCAGGTCTGTGTGAGGGAAAAAAGTCCCAAACCCAGAGCTGCAAGAGGAGTCTGGCATGTAACCACACTCTGGGTGACCCAAGAAGAGTTTTCAAGGTATGACTGAGCAGGGAGACAAACTAGAGGTGTAAGAGGTAAAAGGTAGTATCACCACAGGAGGGGAAGGAGACCATCCTGACCTCCAGGACCTTGCCTCCAGGACTGACAGGAGGGAGGCTTGGGGATCAGGACCTCTTCTCTAGAACCTACCTCAGAAGGCACTCAGGAACCTGCCCTGGACAGTTTTCATTTGGGGATTGGAAATACCATTCCAGGTCTTGAAGAAACTGAGTCACAAAACCTTAGCAAATGAGCCAGGCATTTTCTCTGTAAATCTTAGATCTCAACCATGGAAGGGCCATTGGGGAATGACTGACTGTGGGCGTGTGAATCCTGAACAATTGTTACCACTAGCACCTCCCAGCCTCCCAGCTTTCTGTCTAGATTGACTCCCACGGACTCCTTTGACCACAAACCCATGGACAGAGCCGCTTTATTCACTGGGTTAACATGACACCCTCCCCCCAGAGCATCTTCTCTTTCTTAAAGTTAACCAGTAACTGGCCTTTGTGTTGCCCTGCTTCTGTAAGAGGAATTTCCAGGGCAGTTCTCTCCGGAAGCACTTCTGATGTGTGCTTCCTTTCTCTCAGTCTATAGAAAACCTCTCATGACCCTTTGTGGCCCTTCAGTTCCCACTACCACCGGGAATGTGCCAACCTGCTTGCTTTTTCTCTGTACCGCTGATGCTGATAAGGTTTTAGACATTCCTCTCTAGATCCTTCTCTGACAGTCGAATGGCCCAAGAGATTTAGGGCTCCTCTAAAAAGCTGTGCTTTCTGGTGACTCTCTGGGGAAGGAGCAGCAGACAGAGAGTAGGAATAATTACATCTGAAGTTTGTTAGTTATTCATTTGCGCAGTTTTCTTCCTTTGTGAGACATTCTCCAACATCCCCCACCCCACCCCCACCATCCGCCCCACCAAAAGCTCACAGAAGGACCAGTAAACGGCAGAAAGCCTACGGAACCAATTGGCTGGAAAAGAAAAGACAATTGGAATCTCACAGCTTCAAGCCTTCACAGCACCCACTTAAACTAAACAGATTTACAAAGTTTCACAGAAAAAATAACTCTGATTTACTAGAGGATTTTCTACACAAAGTTTGTTTTTGATTTTCAATATATTCTACACACTACACCCTCCCTTCAAAACCTAGCCTAACCTGTTCACAACCTTTCCCTCATATGGGTCAGAGGTGCCACATTAGGTCAAATTCAAGGCTGTGGGGCTCTAGGGCTTGCAGTCTGCAGCTTAGGCAAGCTCTGATATAGCACCCTTCTGGTGCCATCTCTCCTAATTTGTGTGCTTAATTGACAGCTTGTTAACAGTTCATTAGGAACACTGAAAACCATGTGGCAAAAAACAGATCCATCTAGCAGAGAATACGCAGTCCATCTTGTTTACTTGGAAAAAAAATGCCAGGAACAAACCACGGAAGCCGAAGCAGCTCTCAGCCCCCTTTGAACATGATGCCCCTTGGTCCCTGATGCTGAGCTCACTTCTAGCTGAGCCTTTGATCTGGCAGACTGGGGACCCATGGGCTTGTGAGGGGACATCACAAGGATCCTCAGGGCAGCAAAAGGAATACTCATCCATCCATGAAGACAGATGGACCACCTTCGAGGCCATGGGGATTGGGGCTGCCAGAGTGTCTCTAATCTTTCCAGCCCTCCCACTCACCCCATGTCTCTGGAGACCTTTGTGGGAACTTCAGGTGAAGCCAGCTGCAGCATAGCACCCTCTGCCATGCCCTACAGGGAACTCACTCCCCTCTCTTCTTCGCCCTCATCACTCCATCTGCTGGGTAAGACCGCAGCATGCTGTGGTTGCTAAGGAGTCATCCGGTGGCTCTAGTGATTTCTCCATCCCCATCATTGGGAGAACCCTGGTTGGAGTCATTGCTTTCTCATGGTCTCTAGACATGGCATTAACTACTCTACCCTCTCCTCCTTCTTAGGTCTAGCCACTCAGAGGACTTACATCAAAATATCCTAGCTTCATCTGCAATGTGATTATGACAAGAATTCTATATGAAGAATAGAATGATTTCTATATGAAGAATTCAATATGATTTCATTGCATCCAATGTACCGAGGATATACTTTGTTCTGAGACATGTGCACATACTCGTGAGCAGGCTCTGCCTTGGTGGATGTCAACGATTATTAATTACAGTAATTGCTACAGATTATAAACTTGGGAAGAGTGTTCCATCTTTTAAATAAATGTGGTGTTTTTGAGCACCCTGGAGCAGAAAGTTGCTGAGGAACATGCTCCAGTATCAAGAATTATTCTTTATTTTTTCAGATATATCATTAGCTTTGTTAGCCCAAGTCCTTTATGCACATGGGGCAGGCCTGTCACGAGAAGAAACTTAAGAAAAAAAATCACATCAAGGATGTTTCACAGAAATTTGACACCCCAAGCTTCCAGAGGTCATTTTACTAGATATTAGAGATATGTCCAACCTCAGGCTCACCAGCCTTTACTTGTGCAATCTGTGTTAGCTAGCTGATAACCCGAGCTTTCCTCATAAAATATGTCTGCATTTTTTAACTTTTACAAGGCACTGATGTCTTCATATCCCTAGTTAATGTGAAGACTTCTGCTAGAGAGGCCTTGGGGAATCCTCCCAGGAAGGGTGGTGTGCTAGGCAAGGTTTATCTAGCCGAAGGAGCCCCACCATTATGACAGTTCTTTGGGCTGGTTGAAATTAATTTGGGGTGACATGTTTGAAGCTACTAGAGAATTTAGCAATTTCCTAGTTGAATGCCCAGACACTAGGCAAGATAAAGAAACAAGCTCGGACGAGTCATGTTGATTGTGGTTGACATTTTTCAGGGCCTCTCCCGTATCTACCTGTAGGTACTTAGAAACCTCAAATTTTCCTTCGCAGGATTCAGTCTTCTTCAGATTTAAGCCCTAGAATTAGGCTGGAATTGACCTTTCCTCGAGCTCCTGAGGTGGCCTACACGAATAAGAGAAGCTACCAATCACTTGAAATGATTGGTTCAAAGATGCACATGTGACCGAGTACTGGCCAATAGCAGAATGTGAAACTAAGGGTTTGTGGGGAGCTAGTAGAACAGGCGCTATAGTCCTGGGCTGGGTGGTGCTGAAGCTGCACCGAGTCCTTACAGTGACTTCTTCCACTTCCTGTTTTCAGCGTCCTGTCTGAGCCTTGCAGATCTGGAAACTGACACAGTGCCCATTCCCTTTGCATGTGATCCGAATTCTTAGAAGTTGAAGTTTCTGTCACTTACAACAGAAGACTCCCTAACTGCTAGCTAACCTGATGAAATGCAGAGTGATGCGAGGGATTAGTGACAGAGTTAACCAGACACACCTATGGAAGCCTTTGGGTAGGACAGCTCAGGGTAGCAGAACCAATAAATTCTTTTCAAGCCTCGTATAACTATTGACAGCAGACCCCCAGGTCAGTGATGTTCTGTGAGTCTTGCAGGCTAGTGTCTGTCCTGCACTCACATGGGTCGTGTTTCTTGATTCTGAGCCTGTCCCCTTGCCTGGTATAGAACAGCCCATCTGTCTGTGTTAAAGGGCAGCCCAAGGCAGTAGGCCTGTAAGTGACTTGGGCCGCTGTTTCCTTAGTAAGGGGTTGATCCTGAGTCTAAACTTCGCTTTGCCCGGAGGCATAACTAGAGATAATGGGAACATGTAGATACACTGGAGCCTCAGGTGCCACCTGGTTTGGTACAGTAGCCAGCAGCCACCTGGTGGACGCTGCTTGTGTGAATTGAGAGGTTCGGGATGGACAGCTCAATCACACATGCTTGTATGATATCTATGTGTAACTAAAAGTACTCTGGGTGGATTGGGTTAAATAAAGTGCATTATTCATATTAATTGTACCTATTTCTACTTTTACTACTGAGGATAGTAATATAGAAAAGGTACATTGCTTTGCATATGGTGGCTCCCATTATATTATAACTGCATTGCGCCCCCTAGAGGACTGAGATCATATTTTCCTTGCTTTGCCTCTGGCTCAGAGAGAGTTTAGCACTTCGGGTTTTGAATAATGAATCATGACTTGAAATGGCCATTAAGGGCTGTGTTATCAGTCACCCATGGCCTGTATTTCTGCTGTGGGTGAGGAGCCTTGCTATAGAGCTTGTATACAAATGTGCTGGCTTCTGAGGAAGGCCAAAACTTTGTAAGTAAAGGGACATTTTCCTTCAAGAAGGTAACCTCCCAGGGACAAAATCCAGACCGTAGGTGGCATCAGATCAGTGGAGGGTGGAAGGCAGTCCTCCCTGGGTGGCAGGAGGAAATCCTGTCTTTCTCCTGGCTTCTTCTCTTTGGTAATGGACTTAGAAGGTTCTAAGTGTGTCTGAGAATACTTCTGTAGTGGGTGAGGAGTAGAGTTTCTGAGGGTGGGAGCAGGTAAGGAAAGGGAGTCGGGGCCTAGTGGGTGATAGGAGAGAGGGCTAAAATTCATAGTCCTGGCTGGCTGGCTGTGTGTCATTCTCTGTGAGAATGTTGATGCCAGGTCTTGGTTGGGTTGAAGCTTCTGGTCTAAGTCTGACTGGCCAGTGTGCTCACCACAAAGAGCTTTGTGGTCCAGGCTATGCACCTGTACAGAGATGCTTGCTTGGCAGAGCAGAGTCTGATGCTTTGGCAGCTAAATTTTGTTGTTATTGTTGCTGCTGCTGTTGTTTGTTTGCTTTTTTGTGTTTTGCTTTTTGCTTTTTGTTTGTTGAGACAGGATTTCTCTTTGTAAAAGCTCTGACTGTCCTGGACTTTCTTCATAGACCAGGCTGGCCTCAAACTCACAGAGATCCACCTGCCTCAGCCTCCTGAGTGCTGGCAATAAAGGCATGTACCACCAGGCCTGGCAACAGCTCTTTTTTAAACTATCTGTCTCTGAGGCATGTCTAATGCAAACCAAGGTGGTACCATCAGCAAGCAATCAGATGATGGGAACTGACATTCTCTGGCCTGGATTTGCTCAATATGTTTTGCACTCAGGTCCAGTGTCAGGTCGAGTCTAGGATATCCCATGAAATATCCTACTGGGAGTTGAGATGTCTTCTATGCCTCAGCGCAGTCTACTGTTTCTGTTAGTTGTTGCACCTACTATTTGCTGATACAATTGTCAGTGGTTCTGGACCTTCTGCCATGCTGGGTATCTATGAAGGTCAGGGTTCACACATCTTGGGCATAGTATCTGACACAATGTGCCCAATAGATATAGGTAGGTAGGTAGATAGACAGACAGACATTTGTGAAGCTGGGGACTGAACCCAGTGTTGTGTGCATGCTAAGCAAACCCTTTACCACTGAACCATACGCCTTACATAGTCTCAAATTAATTGTCTTTTTAAAAAGGCAAGCTCTCCAGCACTAAGCTATACAATCATCTGCCAAACTATTTTTTAAAAAGAAGATAAACAGGTTAAGGGCATGGAATTTATGTAGGTAAACATACGGACATACATCCCTAGGTTTCACTCTGCTAGCTAGCAGACACTTTTTAGTCCTCCTCAGCCTATTTAGGATGGTTTGGTGACACCAAAGCCCTTTTTCTTTCATCCATCATTCAGGGCATTTCCTTTGCATCTGGCTCTTAGCTCAGTGCTGGGATTCAGTAATGTAAAGTGCTTAGCTTTGTCAAACGTATGTGCGCAGCATGTACACATCTGCATGTGCATCTATGCATGAACGACTCTCTTGTCCTTAATGTTCTTGGCCCTCTGTTCAGCTCTTAGTGAGGAAATACCGCCTTATCGCCTCCTTGGACAGACTGAAGAAACCGCAGATGTAAACATATTTTCCTTACCCAGTCCTGAAACGAAATTGATGTCAGCTGAATTCAGGAGGCCGTGTCTTGGTTCAGCCTGTTGGACCAGCAGTTGAACACAGGCGGGTGCTTCAGTTGTCTGGGTTACCCAGATCTGCCAACATTTTAAAGCTTAATATGGACAGATGACTGACCCACATCACAATCATGGGGTTGGTAATGCCATCATCCTGCCTCCCCACCCTCCAAAAATTGGGATGGGTCTACTTATTCACAGCCTCAAAGAAGCTTAAGGAATGGATGACATGGGCTGTCATTTAAGAAGGAATAATTAAATCAAACTTAGTGATTCTTAGCTGGATCTTGTAAATCACCAGCTTTCCAGGATGGTGGTTAACAGAGCTTTCTGGATGGCAAAACTGTAGGTCTGGCCATTTCGTTTGTTTGAGAGCTTCAAGGAAATCAGAACTTGGTACTTTGAAAGTGCTTTTCAAGTTTGATGTTCTCTACAAATTACTTCCGAAGTTAAACAAGTCAGTGTGACTTGTCAGGAAAACCTTGGGCATCTCGGATGTCTTAGTCCTGTCCTGGGAGTGCTCAAGGCACCAAACTTTCCAGAAATTGAGAGTGAGAGCCAGGTGTTTGCTTCTCATGGAGAGATGTTGGAACTTGTAGCTTTCTGGTTCACTGGTAACTCTCTCCAAATCATGAGCTTTAGGATGACACTAAGGAAGATTGGCAGTTTAATAAGAAATTGCATCGATTCCCCAGATCAAATCAACTGCTTCTGTCATCTTTTTCATCCGTGCCCAAAGACCTAAGCTCAACCCCAAACTCATTTCAGAAGCTCATTCTTCTCCTGCTCAAGACTGTCGGTCTTCCTTGATTTGCTGTTTTAGCCTCTGTCCACTTCCCATCCGATCTGTCAGTTTCCAGTTTGTGACTGGGTGGACACATACTTTTCTGCCCTCAGAGAAATCCCATTGAGAAGCCACAACATGGCTTTCTGAAATAAATGACTCTGTCCTCTGGTCTCTGATTTGCAGCCTCAGAATTCTCCCTTTCCCCCCAGTTGATGCTGTTCTCATTTTTCCCTGATGGATGCAGTCTTCTCTTCTTGGAGGAAGTACACTGCCCTCATTAAGGCCCAGAGCTAGATGTGATGAGCTCAGTGCCTGTCGTGAAGAGTTTCCTCAGCTTTGGAGTCACAGCTGTTTAATGGTCTGTGTGTTCATGCATGTGTATGTATGCTAGGGATAGAACCTAGGGCCTTGTGCATGCTCAGTGAGCCTTAACCACTGAGCTAAAAGCCTTCCCCTATGAGATGCTAGTTGGGGTAACCTAAGTTTTGTAAATTTGGGGGTAGAGGCATTGCTTTATCTTGTCAGGTGACTTCAGTTTGTGCTTGTCTGCATGATCAGAGTTGAAAGTGTTTCATCTGTTATATCCTTTCTTTATCTTTTTAAAGTATTTATTGTTGTATGCATATGGGTGTGTTGCTTGCATGTATATCTGTATACCACTGGT